CTTCTTCTTCTTCTTCTTCTTCTTCTTCTTCTTCTTCTTCTTCTTCTTCTTCTTCTTCTTCTTCTTCTTCTTCTTCCTCTTCTTCTTCTTCTTCTTCTTCTTCTTCTTCTTCTTCTTCTTCTTCTTCTTCTTCTTCTTCTTCTTCTTCTTCTTCTTCTTCTTCTTCTTCTTCTTCATCCTCTTCTTTTTTTTTTTCCAATCATGACAATGTACCTGCTCGTTCTTCTGGGCTAGGAAGGATTGTTCTGTAAGAATTTTGTTGGGAAATCTTACCCAACCCTGCAACCCTGACCTTGCTCCTTAAGACTTCTTTTAGTTCCCCAAATTCAAAGAACATTAAAAAATAATATTGACTCCTTCAAAGATGCCTAAATTGCCATTTGATGTGGTATGAATCAAAAAGTGTAGAATTATTCAGGCTATGGTTAGAGAGAAACAGCTCCTTTGTAAGAGTATAATGGAAGACATGTTGAGAAACAATGGCCTTGCATTTTGATATTTTTGTTTAATAAAGATTTCTGTGATTTTGTAGCAATACTTTACAACTTACCATTATACTGTATACAAATATCCATTAACTCATTGGTTTTCATACTTACTGTCATTGTGTAGGTTCCAGTTCATGGAGAACTTGTGTAGGGTTTCTGAGACTCTACACTTTTATAAATGCAGGCAGCCTCAACTTTCTCCCATGGAGCTACTGTCTGGTGGGCTTGAACTGTCAACCATGTGGTTTCTAGCCCAATGTCTAACTCACAGTGCCACCAAGGCTCTTTAAGGTTTTCATAGTTGTAAATTAATGTAGAAAATGAATGTATGCTCAATATATAAATATCATGTGAGATGAACCATTCAAGATATAAAAGTTTAGGCATTATATTGACTTACAACAGTTAAATCAGTCAAACAGTAAGATTGAAACAACTGACCTTTGGAAAATCATGTATACTCCTATAAGGAGATTAATATGTTCAGAGTCTTATAAAAAAATACTCAATAGAGTGTGCACTTTTATTGCATCACCAATCATTTCAGAATGCAATTTATCAAGGTACTGAGTTATAATAAAGTCTAATTTTGTAATAATTTTTATATGAAAACACATTTTTTGAAACATATGTATTATTTCATATGTGGAATAAAATCAGTTAAAAAATAAGTGGACACCATCATATAACTGGTCACTTCCTAAAAGTTCATGATTCCTGATATACCAGACACCACCAACATATTTCTTGCTAACACTATAAAATCGGTTATAAATACTATCCATAAGAAACAAGGTTACACTGATGGGTTCACCAGTTTTTCAAGGGGAAGGGAAATGATGAAGCCCTTAACTTTATTATTGATAATGCTTCTATTGGAGGTAAGTCATAGAGAGCAAATGCTCAGCAAGAAGGTAGAAATATTAAATTTCTGAATTATGACAAATCCTGGAAAAAGCAAGATTAGTCAAATATTGTTTAGTTCAGACTAAAATTCAAGTGCCAGGAACAAAGCAAAAGATAAACATTGCTACTGTGAATAAACTTTTGTAATTAACCACTAAATTGATTGTTTTGGAGAATATGCATTGTACCATAAATCTTAAAAAATGAAGGCAGGAACCACAGATTATGGGCCAAGAGTTATTTTATAGCCAAATTATAAGATACATGAAAGTTTGATATGGAAAAGGGAAACTTCTTTTTATATATTGATGATGAAGAGGTTCTTTTAAATGTACTGATATTTCACAGAATTAATGATGGACATAAAAAAAGACTATCTTCCAATTTAGGCTTTGTTGCTCATTTTGTAGTCAAATTTTAAATAGCTCCTTCTTTAATTCATGGAATATGTTAATGTTTACAACTGCTGCTGGGACACAAATTAATTTTAAATCATTATAAATTGTGACTAAACAGAAAAAAAAAAAAAAGGAAAATAAATCAATTTGGTCCAAGATTATTTTTGCTGTGTGATTTTCTTGTGATAAACATTTAAAACTTTATACATTTACTATTTTAATTAATAAGACAGGGTTGCTATGAGTCAGAACCAACTCAATGGCATTCAAAAACAACAGCAAACTTTTTATGACAGTGATATTAAGTGCAAGGCTTTAATCATATTTTTATTGTTGTTAGGTACCAACTAGTCAGTTCTGACTCATAGCAACCCCATGCACAGTGGAATAAAACACACCATCCTCACAATTGTTGTTACATTTGAGACCATTGTTATTACCACTGTATCAATCTATCTCTTTTTTGTTGATACCATACTTTTTCAATACTACACTTCTCCCAGGACTGATTCCTTCTAACAACCTGTCCCAAGTACAAGAGATGAAGTTTTACCATCCTCACTTCTAAGGAGACTATGGAAGTACTTTTCCCAAGACTGATTTATTTGTTCTTCTGGCAGTCCATGATACTTAAAATATTCATCTACAACACCATAATACAAATGCATCAATGTTTCTTCCCTATAATTTTGCAGGAAGTCTGGAAAGGGAATTTAGTGAATTCGGCGCATAAGTCAAAGGTAATTACCAAGTAAGGAGTATTTCTTGAATGAATTATTCCTGTGGTCAGGTAAAGGAATGAAATGAATCTGAGCAACTGATATTCATCTTGAAGTTACTGGCAGTGTGGTGGAAAGGCAGGGGTTAGACACTCAAGTGAAGACAATGAGAATGCACTCAGTTCACTTTAAAACATGTTCTTCAAGTTGAAAATAAGTAAAAAAAAAAAAAAAAAAAAAATTGATGAAAAATAACAGAGTAAATCACAGTGATGGGGCATACCAGAAACTAAATGGCAGCAGATCATATCAGTTGTAAAATAATATAAAAGTTCTTTACTTACATGGTAAATGATAAGTGAGAAGATTTACAATGCTCAAGTGCATAGTTTCAGAGTTTCACTTGGTGTGTGTGAGATTCAATGTTGCAATTTGTTATGTACATTAATTCTATTTTCTGATAGTATCAAGATGCTGGGAATCAAAGGAATGGAGGCTATAGGCATTACAAAATAAATGTTTATAAAGACTTAGAATGAGTTCTGAAATGTCAATGATTACAAGTCTAAATCACTGGAACTTGGAAAGAGGCATAAATCCCGAGTTTATTATAGCTGCTTCCCTAGAGGCATTGCTTCTATTAGATCAGTGGTGTATAGGGGATAAATTATATTATTTGGAAAACTCTCATAATTAAAAGAAAAGTACAAGTTTCCCCAATTTGGAAAAGCTAAGGGAACAAGTAAACACAATGTCTGCAAAAAATGTATTGGTTAATTCACTGAAGGACACAGAATCATGCATGCTACTTTTTGCCATTCAGCCCAACTGATCTTAGTATAATGGGTCCAGAAATAATATGAAGAACCTTTTATAGACTTTGTTTAAACTTCAGTATCATATTTTGCTAAGTAGAATTTGGTAGTACAAGTTTTACAAATGGTAAATCTGAGTTGGCTAGGGACAACGCTGTTCCTCAAATGAAGCATTAATAAAAGTCAAACATTTTATAGAAAAATAGACTTGAATTTTTAAATATGGATATTGCAACCTGTGCAGAGGTGTTCCTGTTGAGATTTTATCTGTTGCAGGTATGCAGTGTCATTTTTGTCATTGACTTAGAAATCTTTATTATCATCATAATCACTACTGTCATCATAAGTTATCTTTAACCTTGCACAGGTTGTGGAAAATATTATGATAGTATTGATTATGATGATAATAAAGATGATAGTCAGATTTCTAAGTCAATGACAAAAATGACACTGCATACCTGCAACAGATAAAATAATCAGTTTTGCATTAAGAGTAAAGTTAAAAAAAACAGAAAGCAATTAATGTTGGTGAGTGTGTGAAGAGACAGGGATATTGTACATTGCTCTTGGGATTATCCAATGGTACAATCACTGTGGAAAAAGGTATGACATTTTCTCAAAAGCTTGGAAGCATAATGGCTATATGACCTAGCAATCCCTCTACTTGATATATGCTCTCAAGAAATAAGAGCCATGACATCAGTAGATAT